CTAAGCGATTTGATTGGTCGAGAGCTTGCGACTTCTAGTGCTTACAACTCAGCTGCGACTAGTTGTATGCGATTTCACATCGTTACGATTTGGGTGTTCACACGTTGCAACTGTGTTGCCTGCTACATGTTGTTCAAACAAGTCGCACCGTGAAAACGCACCTTTAGATCGGTGTCATGCCGAACCAAAAGTCACAATCAGGCGAATACTAGATGCGAACCCGCACCATCGGATCCTGACATGACAAGGGGAGGTAATGTTGGTGAACCAAGGAGTCAAACCAAGAATTCTAATCAGGGCAAATTCGGAATCGAATCCACGAGCTTCGGGTACTGGAATGACTGAGGGAGGTAACTGCGCAGCGAATCACGGAGTCTCAAAATACCGGGTATCAGTGACTGTTAAATGACCCCAAAGGCGATGACATGGGTGCTGTGTTGCGTGGTTTGTTCGCGTCGACGTCAGAGACATGGGGTCACAGATATAGCACGGGCTGGTCTTTGAGAAGATTAGCCAGCGATAGGATCGTCGAACGATAAACTATGAAATAAATATACCAAATAAGAATTATTATATGTAAGTTAATCACGATTTATAACATATAAGTAAATTATGAATTATTATATCCATTACATCTTGAGTTATTATCCATAGTAGACGCAATGTTTGCTAGTGATTCGATATCTGAAAGCTATATCTCCAGATCAATAAATAATCTAGAAATAACATTCATGCATAGTAGATGGCCTCTGTTCTCACACAGTCTATAACTGGCTTATGCGATATAATACCATGTTACCTCATCACGGGGGATTGCCTAGGCAAGTCATTGCCAGAAATAGATCGTAAATTGCGTCTTTCGTTTTATCCATCCAGCGATAATAGTTCCTACTTACCAACGTTACCCCGTGTAATCGCCATCTATATGTAGCGACTGCTCAACATCTTCATCCTTTCATCATACATGTAATCGTTACCCTTCCCAACACATATACAACAGACGCACTTCAACCCATTCACCCTAGCCATGTCGTATACGCATGTAGTACGACATCGGTACACTTCCCCTCTATTTCCCTGTTCAAACAGGAGCGGTGGGGTGGTTAAAGCGTTCGCTCGTCACGCCGAAGACCCACGGGTTGGATTTCCCCCACACCCCACCCCACCCCCCACACACACCCCACACACACATGGGTACAATCTGTGAAGCCCATTTTTAGTATCCTCCGCCGTGATATTGCTGGAATGTTGCTAAAGGTGGCGTAAAAATAAACTCACTCACCCGGGCCACGCACCTGTTCAAACAGCTTGGAAGGGAGTCTGGTCTTGTTCCCCTACTACTAGTCCACCAGACCCTAGGGATAATTGAAAGAGAGTCGAACTTAAGTCTGGAATGAATGGGCAATTCTCATTGTCTCAGTTGTAAGAATTGTTTTCGTTTTAGGAGTGAGTGAGTGAGTTTAGTTTCACGCCGCACTCAGCAATATTCCAGCTAAATGGCGGCGGTCTGTAAATAATCGAGTCTGAACCAGCGATCCTGTGATCAACAGCATGAGCATCGATCTACGCAAATTAGTGCAGCGGCGTAGGGTGAAAATAGATACTTGACGGACTAAACCATGAAACTTTGCATAGTGCTGGGGATTATCATGATAAAACATATTTTTGGGGGGTTCCCGAAATCAGGCACATTTTCCGAAAAAGTCAAGATGGCGTCCAAAATGGCCGTCAAAAATCAAGGATTTCCAATTTTAACACTATATGACTTTTCCCCCGCTGGATTATAGCAGAAAACCTTGCACAGTGCTTGGGAACATCATGATAAAACATATTTTTTGGGTGTACCCGGTTTTTTAGGGCCAATTTTCGCAAAAAATCCAAGATGGCGTCCAAGATGGCCGCCAGAAATCAAGGATTTCCAATTCTAACACTACGTGACTTTTCCCCGCTGGATTAAAATAGAAAACCTTCCACAGTGCTTGGGAACATCATGATAAAACATATTTTTGGGGTGTGCTCGAATTGTTGGGCCTATGTCCCCAAACATCCAAGGTGGTCGCCAAAAATCAAAGAGTGCTGAAGTCCACACTGAATGGCCGCCGACTATAAAAGAAATCTTCATTCGTTGCAATATGTGAGATATATTCGCCGTTCAAAGGGCTATTTCTAATACTTTCAAGAAATATAACAAACAAGATTTATGAATTGTAGAAAAATATACAATTCATCATCCAATTAATGAAAAAGTTACTGTTTTGATCATTCACGTGACATCATTTTGTCAAACATCGATCTCTGTGATTCTGACGTCTCCTTTAACAGTTCCCATTGGAATTGCAGATGTTGTTGATAATGGTACCAGCGGAAAATCTATTTCAATAGACACTATTTCAAGCTCTTCCAAACCTACACTTCCAGGCAGTTACTGTATAGTTCCTGCAGTAGCCTGCAATGTGGAGAGAGTTCAAGTGCCTGCAACTCACACGCATCATCAAGTTGAGGACAAGATCACCAAAGCTAAAGAAGAATCTTGGATCAAGCACTGCACTGGCCTTCTTGCTGAAGAACATTTGGAAAACGATGAGTTACCTGGTGCATTTCATGCTTCTCGTAAATCCCAGGAATCCAATCAACTATTGGTAAACTAAAAACACTCGTCGTGAATCTTGAGTTTCTGGTAACCATAACAACCAGATTAACACCCCATTATCTCACATGGAATTCTGGTATTTATGTCATAACACCTCCTTTACTCAGGTTGCAGCAGGAATAAGTTCTCCCCTTCCTCTCTTTAAGGACAAAGCCGCAAGTCTTGCCGCTGTCTTGATGTGGCTGTCTTGATGACAGCCACAGAACATTGCAATCCGGGACAACCCCCAGTCATGCCTGTATCCCAACCACTTTTTGCGCTAGCAAAATATGTTCAGTGGAGATGGCCTAATGTGTTTGGTGAAGATGTGTACACTATCATGCTTGGAGGTCTTCACATTGACATAGCCTTATGGAAAATGGTTGGAGACTGCTTTTGGGTAGACTTCAGCACCAACAAAAGCGGGTATTGCCTCAAGTGAAGCAGCTGAATCTTTCATTTCGGCGTCTCATGTAACAAAGACATGTTCATCAAATAGCTGCCATATCACCAGCAAAGCTTCAAAGAGATGCTTACATGTCCTCACTGGAACCGCATGTTCAACAATCATTTAAAGACTGGCTTGAAAAATTGGATGTCAGAAAAAGAGTCCAACATTCAAATACTGGGATTTGATTCTTCATCTCGAGACAATGATACCAATCTGCGTGAGGTCCCATCGCGAAAGAAACATGTCTCTGTACATCCAGGTAATTTGTCCCTTGGTTCTTTGCTCTTGATCACACAAACTATGCACGCAGGCTGTCAGTTCACATCAGAGATACGAAAGCCTTTCCTGTTGACAGAAGAGAGTCCATTCAGAGAGGTTTGGTTTTCCCAAACATCAAACACATTTGCTGCCATGCTTTCGGATCAAGTTCATGAACAAAACAGCAAAGTTGTAAAACACTCAGTTGTTGCAGTTGGATTAACAGAAAATGTTGCCTTAACTAGATGGGTGATGTCTGGACCAGAACAAGCCAGAATTCTGCAAGAGTTTGAGAAGAAAGATGACAAGGCAGATACAAGAAGCAATAAACAAGGTTTTGCTACACAGCAGACATTTAAGACTCAAGACAACAACTAATGTGGCACTGTTGCTTCGATGGGAAATCCCTTCCTGGAAGAGTCTCCTGAACTGATGACCCTTGATGATCATCAACGTGTTGGTTAAGCTGTCGTAACATCTTTAAAATCAATGGAGAAAACAGGAAAAGACAAATATGAGACATTTGTAAAGGATGTTTTTGTGGAAATGACAGTCAATTCACACCCCATCAAGAAAAATCACCTTTTGTCAAGCCACCACAAACAAAACCTGTCTAAATCAAACAGCAAACGAATGATCTGAAAGATGACAACAGTCTATTTAGTCAGATGTTCATTGATTTTCAGGTACGTCAATCTGATTTAAACCAGTTCTTTCCTCATGAAAAACACCCGTGGCCACCACCAATATCAGTTCATGGAAGACTTCATTTACCAAACTGCAAATCAGAGCTCTTAGATTGTCTTGCATCACCTGAGTATGACTCACGAGAAAGTGAAGAAAAGGCAGCAGAAGAAACGTTTCCCGTCATACTAGACTACCAATGATCTTAGCTTCCTTTGTGAAAGAATTAAAGGACAAAGAAGAACACTTTGCATTCTTAACAGATGGTGTGGCTAGCAGCTCTTACCCACCACGACTGACTGACTGACTGACTGACTGACTGAGTTTGGTTTTACGCCGCTTTTAGCAATATTCCAGCTACATCACGGCGGGGGAACACCAGAAATGGGCTTCACACATTGTACCCATGTGGGGATTCGAACCCGGGTCTTCGACGTGACGAGCCAACGCTTTAACCACTAGGCTACCCCACCGCCCCTTACCCGCCACGAAAGGTGATGTGCATAACAGCTGTGGAGTCAAATGTGGAGTGGTGACAATAGGAAGTGAAGAAGATATGCAGTGCACTGATTAGGAAGAGGCGGGTATCAGAATCTGCCTTCATGTCAAAGATGCTTTGCAAAAAGGTGCTACAAACATCATGTTTTAGCACTGTCGACACAAATGTTGTTGATCTAAAGTCTGCTGTTCAGCTGTGGGTGTCATTAGGAAACGGAAAACAACGTCAGATGTTATCATATCAACAGAATATTCCAAGATCTTGGCTGTCGAAGATGAGTGGTGCTTCCCTTTTCCCACGCATTCACTGGTTCTGACACAAAATCACACTTCAGTGGAAAAGGCAAGAAAACTGCTTTGAAGACTTGAATATCCTATGAGGATGTGACTGAGAGAATTCCTTTTCCTACACAGCATCCATTCCAACCTGTGGACAAAGACTCAGAAGTGTTTTCATAAGTTCAGCGATTCACATGCACCATGTCTGACAGCACTACATCAGTGTACACAGTCAACGAACTGCGACAAGATCTGCCACGGTCGCAAGATCAAGTGGATGCAGAACCTTCCTCCCAGAACCTGCTCTGCTACAGCACAAACAGGTGCTTGTACCAGGTCAGCATATTGCTTACTTGTTTACTTCCCAGACAGACAGCACCAGAGCCAGATTTGTTTGGATGGACAAGGGACGCATGGCTACCGGTGTGGATGGCACTGCCAGAAGCTTCACGAAGTTGTTGAAAATTTATCAAATTTGGCTACAAGTCTCAACCTCTATGTTCAAAGAAGTGTATTGGTAAGTCTTCTCAACTTCTATGCACATCGCTCTGCAACTTCAATGGGAACTGTTAAAGGAGATTTCAGAATCACAGAGGTCGATGTTTGACAAAATGATGTCACGTGAATGATCAAAACTGTAACTTTTTCATTAATTGGATGATGAATTATATCTTTTGCTACAAAACATAAATCTTGTTTGTTATATTTCTTGAAAGTATTAGAAATAGCCCTTTGAACGGCTAATATATCTCACATATTGCAACAAATGAAGATTTTATATAGTCGGCGACCATTCAGTGTGGACTTCAGCACTCTTTATTTTTTGGTGGCCATCTTAGAGTTTTGGGGAAATAGGCAAAAAAATCGGGCAAATCCCCAAAATATGTTTTATCATGATATTCCCAAGCACTGTGCAAAGTTTTCTGCTTTAACCCAGCGGGGAAAAGTCACGTGGTGTTAGAATTGGAAATCCTTGATTTTTGGCCATCTTGAATTTTTCTGAAAATGGGCCCAAAAAATCGGGCACCCCCCAAAAATATGTTTTATCATGATATTCCCCAGCACTTTGCAAAGTTTCATGCTTTAGTCCAGCATGTAACGATCAACCTCAAAATCGGACCTAAGTCACTGCACTAAATGGGATACGATAACATGTGTCAACCAAGTCAGCGAGGCTGACAACCCGATCCGTTAGTCGGGTCTTACGTTGATTGGTTGGTTGTTTAACGCCGCACTCAGCAATATTCCAGCTATATGCTGGCGGTCAGACAATCCAGTGATCAACAGTATGAGCATCGATCTGCGCAATTGGGAACCGATAACATGTATCAACCAAGTCAGAGAGGTTGACCACCCGAGAGGTTAGTCGCCTCTTACGACAAACATGGGTTACTGAAGATCGATTCTAACCCGGATCTTCACTGGTCGGTTTTGTTTTGGATTTTATGAATTTTGTTTTCGATGCATAGTTAAGAAAGATGATTTTATTTCTGGGACTAAACGCCAGCCTATCTAATTAACTCTACTGGTCAACGTGGTGAGGCTCGGTGAGCGGGTGTCATTGAAGCTTGACAGTTTGGATCGTTGATCACGGATTGGACACGTTCAGGCTCGTTCACGAACAGACACACACACACACACACACACACACACACACACACACACACACACACACACACACACACACACACACACACACACACACACACACACACACACACCTATGCACGTACGCAAGCAATCAAGCACATGCAAATACAAGCACACGTGCATGCACAAACAGTTGCATATTTTTACTCCAGGATGCACCACTGTGACACACCATGAGACTTGTCAAGGTATGTCTTCACAAGTAAGGGTTTACGTTTCTTATCGCCACTCAGGTCAACGAGCACCTGTCTGTTGCTGGATAACGTTGGAAAATCATCAATAATCCGATGAACCATTCCTATTGGTGTCTACCACCGTCATTTTGCTGGAAACACACTGACTACATCAGCCAGTTCCTTTTCCGAGTCCAGGAATTCTCTCTGAAGGATTGAATTAATATACATGTACACCTATGGGCTCAGCATTCAGTACAGCCTTGGAGCAAGGCTAGCTCCCAACGAAAACTGCCAGTTAAACTACAGATTCTGATTTGGTGTAAATTTGCACAAGTATCCAAGGTAAAATTTAATAGTTTAAATGATAATTTCAAAAAAATAATAATAAATATGAGCCCTTACATCCACGGCTTAGCATTCAGTAACGCCTTTGAGCAAGGCTAGATTTGGTGCAGCGTAACCTATACGCTAATCCACACAGGTCGAGGCGTAAAGCAGATAATTGTCCTATATACACTGTATTACCATCCATCAACACTGCACCACTGACAGTGCTGTGTGTACGTGGTGATGTAGACTTGCACAAGTCTATAAGGCAATAATTAATAGTTTAAATGATAATTTCTAAAATATATAAATATTCCCCTAACAGACTGGCCTTAAAGACTGGCATCCTTGTACTGTCCGCTTATCTAGACGTGGCTCTCTGAAAGGATAGCATTACTATACATTCATGGGCTCAGCATTCAGTACAGCCTTGGAGCAAGGCTAGTGGTAATGGGATGCTAGCGTGACGTGTCTGAGAGGACGGGAAATATACTGATACTGCTCGACTAACCGAGTAAATGTACGCGTGCGTCTCTAATGATACGGCTGTATAATCAGTTCCGGCACATGAGCAAGGAGGCGGCGTTGATGTAATCATTATAAAATGGCCATAAAACCTACACTCAACACACCCGTGGAGGTCCGGGTTAGAATGAGCCTTCAGTAGCCCATGCTTGTCGTAAGAGGCGATTAATGGGATCGGGTGGTCAGGCTCGCTGGCTTGGTTGACACATGTCATCGGTTCCCAGTTGCGCAGATCGATGCTTATGCTGTTGATCACTGGATTGTCTGGTCCAGACTCGATTATTTACAGACCGCCGCCATATAGCTGGAATATTGATGAGTGCGGCGTAAAACTAAACTCACTCACTCACTTACTACACTCAACACACTTGATCAAATCGCAACTTTACAACAGAGTCGGCAATATTTCGATCAAACAAGAGGGTAGGATTTTTCGGTCTGTTTGACTATCGGACGATCAGGCTATCGGGCTTCAATGTTATTCAGGGTATCTGGATATCGGGTTTTTCGGGCCATTCGGATACGGGGTTATTAATGATATCTGGATATCAGGTTATTAATGATATCTGATATCAGGTTATTCAGGGTATCAGGCTATCAGATTATTCAGGACATCGGATTATCAGGTTATTCAGGATATCGGGATATCAGATTATTCGAGCTATTTGGTTATAAGGTTATTCGAGCTATCTTGATATCAGGTTAGTCGAGCAATCTGAATTTGGGTTATTCTGGCTATCTGGCTGTCTGGTAATTCTGACTATCTGGATATTTAGTTATTTTGACTATCTAGATATCAGGTTATGCGGGCTATCTAGATATCAAGTTATTTAGGCTGTCTCGATATCAGGCTATTCGGACAATCAAGATATCAGGTAATTCTGACTATCTGGATAAGGGGTTATTCAGGCTAGATATCAGGTTATTCATATAACCTGGATTGGGGGTAATTCAGGCTTCCAGTATGGCCTATGAGTTTATGCGGGCTGTCCAGACAATCGGGTTATTCATGCTATCATGCTATCAAATTATTCAGGCTGCTGGGCTTTGACATTATTCAGGGTATTCAAGCTAAAGGGTTATTCAGGCTAACGTTTTCGTGCACTAAAAGTAACGGTGGGCGTATACTTTGCCACAGTATTGATGAAAATGCTATTAAAACATTCTAACCACCAGTTCTCTTATTTTTCTATAGTAAATATATGGCGTATCGCCCAGTAGTGAAGGCCGCCATTTGCCGATATTCGGTAGTCATTGCGGGGTCAGTGTCGAAGCGTTAGCGCAGCAGAGCCTGGGAACCAGGCTGCACCAGTTAACTATTAAGTTATATTCTGGGAGTCAGCACGTAACACTTGTAAATGATAAATCTCATTGCAGTCATGCCTTAGTGAATACACAATGGAATTTATAAAGAGGTAAAATGCAATGTTTGTTATACTTGGGATTACGCTTTCTCAGTAAAGTGTGGATTCTAGTACTTGGACTAGGTGCGTGGTTATGGGTTGAGTCCAATCCGAGATTCAAACCAAACCCAGAATCAGGCATCTAATCGCCAAGACACGAAGTTAGCGATCTAACACACCCAGCCACCGAAAAGGTACAAGTGTGTGTACAATACTAAAACAGTGTAATCCGAAATATAACAAACGTTTCATACTTTATAATTAATGTTTGTCATCACCTCACAAAGACTTCAGCCCGAAAATGATAATCTACCGAATAATATGATGGATCAATAGCTCGATAGCCTCATTTGGTTGCTTTGTTGTTTAATATTCCAGCTATGTGGCGGCGGTCTGTAAATAATCGAATCTAGACCAGACAATCCAGTGATCGTTGCCTGAGCATCAATCTACACAATTGGGATTATTAGTAGTATTCACGCTCTTGAGTCATTCACTGATGTCACACGTTGCATCCGACTAATCCAGCAATATCACGGTGAGTAAGAATGGCTTTACACTGCTTTTATTTCAGCAACATCACGGTGATAGACACGATAAACTGGTTATACACGTTGTAGCCATGTGGAATCGAACGCGAACCTAGTACTTGACTCGCTCACTAACTAACTAACTAACCGTCCCTCCGAATAAGAATAGTTCCCCAGGAATAAACGCCTGTCTTGAAACATGGAGAGACGGATCGGATGATGGGGGCATGTCAGGATAATGGTTCACACAGACAAATGTTCAGCTAGGCAGATGCAGGTGTACGTTTTCCAGCAATATCATGCTGCTGTCTCGTTCAGCTGTTGTTTGTTAGATTACAGGTGCGTCTCTCTGTGCACCATCATTGTCAAGGTCAATACTACAGGAATTTGGAGGTTGGAATGGTCAAAACAGATTGCGGGTATTAGCAACCTCGACGGACTCCCTTACTATATTGACACAGTTGGAGTTACAATGTCCGACTTTCATTATCGTGAGTGAGTGAGTTTAGGTTTACGTCGCTTTTAGCAATAATCCAGCAATATCACGGTCGGGGACACCAGAATTAGGCTTCACACATTGTACCCATGTGGGTAATCGAACCCGGGTCTTCAGCCTGACGAGCGAACGCTTTAACCACTAGGCTACCCCACCGCCCGCTTTCATTATCGACTCTGTGAACATTAACTCTATTTGTATGTGTCGACATTGCATTCAACATGCGTTCGTTGTGTCCTGTGATCCTGTGCTCCTGTGGCAAGGTCACACATAAGAGCTTTGAGGAAACCCTAACGGCGGAGAGGAGTTGGATGGGTCTCACTGCCTCACTCTGAGACGTGTCTGGAAATGGTCTTGTTTCTCAAGGGATTCAAGATTCACCCAGCAGAGAATTTTCGCCGGAAGATATTACTTCAGAATCGTTTCGAACCTGTCATACAATTTGGACTATACACGCTCAGGGACCAGTTAATGCAGTTGGATACTACTATGGGGCCTTGTGGGCATGCGTAGTTTGGGTGAGTGAGTGAGTTTAGGTTTACGCCGCATTCAGCAATATCCCAGCTATATATGGCGGCGGTCTGTAAATAATCGAGTCTGGACCAGAACATCCAGTGATCAACAGACTGATCATCAATCTACGCAAGTGGGATACGATGACATGTGTCAACCAAGTCGGCGAGCCTGACCACCCGATCCCGTTAGTCACCTCTTACGACAAGCATGGGTTACTGCAGATCAATTCTACCCCGCATCTTCACGGGTTGGCGTAGTTTGGAATGCAGAGTAGCTGTTGTTATTGTCTGTGTGCCTCATTTATAACAAAGTGTGATAGTTCACCACTAGTGTATAACAAGTAATGCATCAACCCAAGCATAACGCATGATCCTAACCGATGGTAAGGCAAAAGATAAATGAAGGTATGAGAGTTAATGAACATAGATAAGCCCCAACGAGGAGTACGTGCCAAGTCATGCGAGTGATGTGGTGACAGGGTAATACATCTACCTACATATCCTGATGGTAGCTGATAGTGGAGGGACAGAACTAGGGTGGTGATTATATATGTGTATATCCCCTGGCGTTATTGACGGGGCAAGGACGTGCATCAACAGCTGCTACCTGTTCACTCTGGTATATTGTGTAAGTATGAAGTATCATAATATTACTTACAGTAGTGTGTGAGTGAGTTGGGTTCTAGGCCAATTTAAGAAAATATTCCAGGATTATCACGGCGGGGGACACCAGATACGGGCTTCACACATTGTGCCCATGTGGGGAATCGAACCCGGGTCGAAATAGGACGGTATAAATTCTTTTTCGGACGTGTAGATCAAAATCCGTCCACCATGTTGAGATAGTCACGACACCTTCATGGTATACTGTTGGTTATTGTCTATGGTTGCCGTTTGCGGGTAGGCCATTCCATCTGAAGACCTACCTCGAGCTGGGCCATGCTGGCGGGGGCTGGGACTTCGACGTCCACCCTCCACCGACAACATTCCCCCGATGGTCTTTGTGGGGACATGTCAGAGTACTTTGAGGGCCGGAAAAATGTCCGTATGCATGTTTCGGTGATAATAAGTGCCCCGTTAGAGGAAGTAAACGAAGCGCTAAGATGACCGCGACTCCTATGCTTTAACATCGTAGCGCTAAGATTGTGCACGATGTGACCTGGCCTTGTCGACTTATGCCGATGATTCTTGAGGATGGAATAGAGACAGGACTCAGACTCCAACATGTCGCCGGCCAGTCAAATATCTCTTCCCAATAACCAGTTCAGTTTGACTGTCGTGTGTGATATTGCGCCACACCACGACACTAGGATTATGGTCGAGAAGTGTAGCCATCAGCATACCATGTGTCGCCATGTACGTCGCCGACCACGTTTTCTGCTATCTGTGCTATGGTGTTACGCCATTGTAGACATGTCGTCCCCGTGTTGTCCAGCCCACACCAAACTTTGCCGCCTATCTAGAGCAACCCATGCTTGTCAATGTTGGATCTTTTCATTACAAACTGGATTCTCAGTTGATTGAATTGGTGTAAGAATGTATCAACACCCCTACACCCTTCGGATACAAGCTTATGCTCCAGAGGAGTAGACACGCGAAGATCCGGGTCTTCAGTAACCCATACTTGTCGTAAAAGGCGACTAGCGGGATCGGGTGATCAGGCTCGCTGACTTGGTTGACACATGACATCGTTTCCCAATTGTGTAGATCGATCGGATGCTCATGCTGTTGATCACTCACTCACTCACTCCTTTACAGGCCTGTCACGACCAGGTCTCATTGCTACCCCACCCGTATAACGGTGTTTGTTCTCATATGCACCCCTGTGTGTGGGAAAGGTCATTGTGATCAAACTTGCGGTTGTGTGCAACGCCTTGATGTAAATGTACACCTCAACTTCAGCTACAATCTGATGTTCATGTCTGTCATTGTTTGTCTTTAGTTGTGGATTATCACTGTTGCAGTTATCGTGCTCCGTGTGTCGTTATTTATTGCCATCAGTATATGTGATGCTTGACGCTGCAGGTTCTAGTATGGCGTGGTTGACTGATTGTGTGAGTTATGGCACATGCCAAGACAGAACTGGTATTCCACATTACAAACGACGCCGCCTTGACAGCTTGATTACTCAAGTCTCACAATCAGTGTCAATACTGTTTGACTTACTCCGAGATACTTTGCTCCAACAATAGTACCACAACCACTACTGCCGTTACGACGTCCACAACCACTACTGCCATCACTACCTACCCAACTACTACTGCCGTCACTACCTACCAACTACTACTGCCGTCACTACCTACCTACTACTACCGCCATCACTACCTACCAACTACTACTGCCGTCACTACCTACCCAACTACTACTGCCATCACTACCTACCCAACCACTACCGCCATCACTACCTACCCAACTACTACCGCCGTCACTACCTACCCAACCACTACCGCCATCACTATCTACCCAACCACTACCGCCATCACTACCTACCCAACCACTACCGCCATCACTACCTACCGAACTACTACCGCCGTCACTACCTACCCAACCACTACCGCCATCACTATCTACACAACCACTACCGCCATCACTACCTACCCAACCACTACCGCCATCACTATCTACAAAACTACTACCGCTATCACTACCTACCCAACTACTACCGCCGTCACTACCTACCCAACTACTACCGCCATCACAATCTACACAACCACTACCGCCATCACAATCTACACAACTACTACCGACATCACTACCTACCCAACTACTACCGCCATCACTACCTACCCAACCACTACCGACATCACTATCTACACAACTACTACCGCCATCACTACCTACCCAACTACTACCGCCATCACTACCTACCCAACCACTACCTACATCACTATCTACACAACTACTACCGCTATCACTACCTACCCAACAACTACCGCCATCACTACCTACTCAACCACTACTGCCATCACTATCTACACAACTACTACCGCCATCACTACCTACCCAACCACTACCGACATCACTATCTACACAACTACTACCGCCATCACTACCTACCCAACTACTACCGACATCACTACCTACCCAACCACTACCGACATCACTACCTACCCAACTACTACCGCCATCACTATCTACACAACTACTACCGCCATCACTACCTACCCAACTACTACCGCCATCACTACCTACCCAACCACTACCGACATCACTATCTACACAACTACTACCGCCATCACTACCTACCCAACCACTACCTACATCACTATCTACACAACTACTACCGCCATCACTATCTACACAACTACTACCGCCATCACTACCTACCCAACCACTACCTTCATCACTATCTACACAACTACACTAAAAGAATTGCACGACGTAGTAAGCACTGGTTTAAATGCCTCAATGCTACACGTGTCACGTTGGTGTCACTGCTACACGTGTCACGTCGGTGTCACGTCACTGCTACACGTGTCACATCGGTGTCACTGCTAAACGTGTCACGTCGGTGTCACTGATACACGTGTCACGTCGGTGCCACTGATACACGTGTCACGTTGGTGTCACTGCTATACGTGTCACGTCGGTGTCACGTCACTGCTACACGTGTCACGTCGGTGTCACAGTTACTGTTGGTGTCATTGTTTCACTTGTCATGTACGTGTCACTGCTCCACGTGTCATGTTGTAAATGCTCCACGTGTCATGCACATGTCACTGGTACACGTGTCACGTTGGTGTCATTGTTCCACGTGTCATGTACGTGTCACTGCTCCACGTGTCATGTACGTGTCACTCCTACACATATCATGTATGTCGGTGTCTGCTACAAGTGACATATCCATTAATGTTAGAAGCCCATATATAAGCGCCATTGTCATTTCCACAACAAGAGTCACAGAATTTAGCTAGTGTCTGCAATATTTAGGCCTAATAACAGACACAATGTTTCCTTCTCCCTAATCTGAGTTCAGCTGTTTCTTCAAACAAACATTGAATCGTTCTCCAAGGTCCTACACAGTATATAACATGTACCCATGACAGTGTTTGTCTAGTTGATCTGATACAAGTTTAACCTATATACACCCCGAAATGCATTCAGCTCAAGTAGCATGCACACAAAGACCCTAGTAATCGGGTGTTCGCAGTATTGAACAAGTCTTTTCTCACAGCCGTATACCCGGGAAACACATGTCTACACAATGAACCCACAGATCTGAGGTATCACATGACGATGTAGTCTCCCGATATACAGACAAGGTTACCGGAGACAGGTTATGTCTGCTTCTTGTACGATGGGTAGTGGGGGAAGTGTTGACTTTGTGATAACAGGCTACTCTAAAGTACAACCGGACTTCCTTGTGACGTATCGTGTCCGGGGTGTATTTGTACCAAGGTATAGTGTCAACGCATGTAGAGCTTCGCGTCACGAAATGTTTATTTTGTCGAAACGGGGAGCTATAAATATATAAGAGGTGGATGGGATTCACTGGTGATGTAACCACCATTACCGCTTCAGGTGGCCGACGAAAGCTCAAAACGACCTATTTCGGTACATTAAAAAAAATACGAATTAATTCATTTTAGCGCCCATCTCACTTTCTTGTAAACATGTATTTATATGTTTATGTTGGATTCGTAGGTGTTTGTTTTTCACGTTATAGGGTTTGGTATGTAATACAAGACCGTGTTTCTGTAGTACCTACAGGACACTGAAATATTGTCATGAAGAGTACTTGTTGTATATAGTGCCATTACGGCTGTGGGGTAGCCTAGTGGTTAAAGCGTTCGCTCGTCACGCCAAAGACCCGGGTTCGATTTCCCACATGGGTACAATGTGTGAAGCCCATTTCTGGTGTCCCCGCCGTGATATTGCTGGAATATTGCTAAAAGCGGCGTAAAACCAAACTCAGTCAGTCAGTGTAGTGCCATTATACACTGTAGAGCTGAATATCGTTGCCTAAGTGGCGAGATAATATATCCCGATACCAGTTTAATGAGGCGAGACGATATATCATGAAAGTATTGGCAAGGAACCTGAGAGACGATTATCATCACGATACAATGGTGGAGATACGATACATATCCCGATACTTTACAATTTCTAATAACAGAGCATATATGATAGATAAAATGACTGAAACTTTATTTGTTATACAGCAGAACTTGTGATATATTCACACACATACACTTAAAAGGCTGTTCATCTAATAAAGTTTCAGTATTTAATGCTTAAGAAAGTACAGTCAAACATATCCAGTAGACCTTGATCTAATATATATAAGTTTGAAACTGAAGTTTCCCTTGGAAAGTTGTGTTTCTGCACCAATGCTTTCACAAACCATTCAGTGTAATTTATACCAGAATTCAGAATCACTGAAAAAAACTCTTGAGTATGCTTTCTAAATTTTATCTTCTCTTTGTTCTCTTTCTTAACAAAGCTAAGACATCGTTCATAGTTGTCCATAAATGGTGTTATTTGTCAAACAACTAAACCATATCTGCATATTTGAAGACAAGTATTCTACAGTTCACAGAGTTTGTAAAATGTTCACACTCTTTGACTTATACACCATCTCCTTTGTTCATGTAACAAAGATAGCAAACACAAACAAATTCCTATAAGGTTCAATTTGTTTTAATATTCAGAAGAATTTCAAAGATACTCCCTTCCTATTCCTAATGCAATACCCCTTACAACTTTAAGTAGTATTTAAGTTGTATCGGAATATATCGTCTCTTGAGGCGATACATCGATGTATCGTGGACCCTTGCGATATAGATATCCTGATATATTGCCTAAACGTTTAGTATCGATGCACTCGTATCGCGTAGTTGACGACGCAAACATCGATACTATCGATGAATCGTTACACCACTATTATGCAGTTATTCAAAATATCCGAGAATATCTAGGACATAGACTGCCCCATAGTCTGTCTCACAGTCCCTGAACCACATTATTTTCCCTACTGCCTAGCCCTCCCTGCAATGTAGTCTGTCTCACAGTCCCTGAACCATATTATTTTCCCTACTGCCTAGCCCTCCCTGCAATGTAGTCTGTCTGCCTAGCCCTCCCTGCAATGTAGTGTGTCTCACAGTCCCTGAGCCACATTATTTTCCCTACTGCCTAGCCCTCCCTTCAATGTAGCCTGTCTCACAGTCCCTGAACCACATTATTTTCCCTACTGCCTAGCCCTCCCTGCAATGTAGTCTGTCTCACAGTCCCTGAACCACATTATTTTCCCTACTGCCTAGCCCTCCCTGCAATGTAGTCTGTCTCACAGTCCCTGAACCATATTATTTTCCTTACTCCCTAGCCCTCCCTGCAATGTAGTCTGTCTCACAGTCCCTGAACCACATTATTTCCCCTACTGCCTAGCCCTCCCTGCAATGTAGTCTGTCTCACAGTCCCTGAGCCACATTATTTTCCCTATTGCCTAGCCCTCCCTGCAATGTAGTCTGTCTCACAGTCCCTGAGCCACATTATTTTCCCTATTGCCTAGCCCTCCCTGCAATGCTAAAGCCCTAAATGAAGCAAGTCTAGATTCACTGGGGTTCTTTTTCAATATAATGGGTTTATTTGTTACTTTCAAAATTATATATATATATATATATATCTTCAGCGACTAAGTGTTGGTCTAACTGACCCAGGGGCGGTGGGGTAGTCTGGTGGTTAAAGCGTTCGCTCGTCACGCCGAAGACCCGGTTCGATTCCCCACATAGGTCCAATGTTTGAAGACCGTTTGTGGTGTCCCCGGCTATAATATTAATATTGCTAAAAGCGGCGTGAAACCATACTCACTCACTCTAACTGGCCCACACAACCATGTTTGTCTTAAGTGACAACTACAACAGGATTGGGAGGTCAGGCTCGGTAAATGGTTGATGCATTTCATCGTATCCTAACCAAGACCCGATTATTTACGGATTTCCGTTATATGCCTAGAAGAATATTGTTGAGTGCGGCGTTGAACAGCAACCATGTTCATTGCTACGTTGAATATGTGTGAGTGAGTGACTGAGTGACTGAGTCAGTTTAGTTTTACGCCGCACTCAGCAATATTCCAGCTATATGGCGGCGGTCTGTAGATTTGAGTTTGGACCAGACAATCCAGTCATCAACAACATGAGCATCGATCTACGCCGATGACATGTGTCAACCAAGTCAACGAGTCTGACCCTATCCCGTTAGTCGCCTCTTACAAGCATGGGTTACTGACGATCAATTCTAACCCGGATCTGCACGGGTTGATGATATGTAACAGAAGTGGTTGTATATATCAGACAGTAATACATTTATTTATAAGTAATGTTTTAATTCCAGCCCGCCTGTTACCAAATCATGTGTTGAACCCATTTCTGGTACACATAGCACATCCGGGCAGTTGGGTACTTAGCCTTGTGGTTAAAGCGTTCGCTCGTCACGCCGAAAACCCGGTTTGATCCCCCACATGGGTACAACGTGTGAAGCCCATTTCTAGCTGGTGGCCTTCTGGTGGAATATTTCAAAAAGCGGCGTAAAACTAAACTCACTCACTTCTAACAAATCAGGCGTCTCAGGTTATTTACGTTTTGTCAGAAAACTTGCAGACAAGAAGTATCTGTGCGTTAAACCAAGTCAACCTCCTAGTTCCTGAACAATAGCATTTGCCCTCCGCCCATCCCATAGTTTGATGCTATTACGACAAATGAAGCAAGTCTAGATTTTCATCTGGAATCTTCTACACTAGTGGGGATCCTTTTCAATTTAAATGGAGTTTTGTGTTTCTGTTAAAATAGTGAGTGAGTTTAGTTTTACGCCGCTTTTAACAATATTCCAGCAATATCACGTCGGGGACACCAGAAATGGGCTTCACACACTGTACCCATGTGGGGAATCGAACCCGGGTCTTTGGCGTGACGAGCGAACGCTTTAACCACTAGGCTACCCCACCACCCCCTGTTAAAGTAAGACTGAGCGTTATTCTACAGTTACCAGATAGGACATCCACTCACTTAACTAAGATACCATTGTCCACCGATAAAGTCTCTATTGTGACGCAATCTCCACAGAATTATATAATCTAACTTGACAGAGGCCTAGCTGATAAAGGTGCTAAAGAGTTAAGTTTATCATGAACACGAAACACTGTTGTGAGATCTGATGTGTTGGACGGTAGCCTGGAAGGAAAAAGCTTGGTCCTTTCGCGTTCTTTCTTGATTGGACCCGTGAAGATCCGGATTAGAATTGATCTTCAGTAACCCATGCTTGGCGTAAAAAGCAACTAACGGGATCGGGTGGTCAGGCTCGCTGATTGGTTGACACATGTCATCGTATCCCAATTGCGTAGATCGATGTTCATACTGTTGATCACTGGATTGTGTAGTCCGGACTCGATTACTTACAGACCGGAATATATATTTAGCTGGAATATTTATTGATTGGACTTTGTTGATTGAACTACTTTCGTGTCGAATCTTGGATATCTCGAAGTATTTACGTAGATCCCTTTAACTTCGCCACAGCGGTGTTTGAC